TAATTTTCTCGGACATGCATAATTTCACCTTATCAGCCATGCTTCTCATTATGTCTTCGAGAATATTTGGCCTTGATAAAATCTATGGATAAAAACTGAGGACTCACTGTAAATTACGGATAAAATTGACAACTAATAAAAAATAAATAAATAACTTTTTTTTTTTTTAATATAGAACATCTCAACTCCAAGTAAAAAATGAAGCACACCCACCATCGTTTTTTTATTTTTTGAATGTATAAGGCCACTTCTTTTTAAAGTCAAACTTGACTTGACCTTTTCTACAATTAACTTATACAATTTCAAATCCGAATATTCGGAAGGCATATTATATATATATATATATATACACCCCTAACACACTTGAAGGACCATCAGGGACATCCTTTTTTTTATATATATATATATTTTTCTTTTGAGGATAAAGACAAATAACCTTTTTCTTTCTCTTCTGTGAATCAAAAATAAATAAATAAATAAATAAACAGAGGACCATAATTCTTTCTCATGAAACCAAACCTTTGCCTCGCTTCTGAAATAAAAGACGGCCACCGCCCACTGCAGCAACTCAAACCATTGCTAGCTCGAATTGAGCCAACACTACTCGCCATTGGTGCTTCATGATGCATTTTTCCAAAGCTCCAAACACACAGATATCGGTCTTCGTAGTATTTTCCGGTACTCCGTCTCACAATCTTATCTGCAGATCTACCCATTCCACGCGAGAACCAAACGTGGATCTATCACAACTTTCAGTTGCCCCTGGCCAGCGACGACCACGCTGCCCACTCAACGCGGCGTTGGTCTGCCCAGATCATTTCTCACCCATTGTTCGTGCGGGCGATACGTGCTGCCACCGACCTGTTCTGACTGTCTTGGGCCATTTTTTGTGCTTGTTTCGGTCTATTTCTTGCTTCCATAGTGCTTACTTCTGCCCATTTTTTTTTTATTTCTTCTACACTGATTTAGATCTGTAAACTGTTTTTTTGCCAAAACCCTCTTCTCATTCTTCTTATATTTTTGGATCTGTGGGTATTCCTTCTTACTGTTTTGATGGATTTTTGTGCTCAAAATAAATATGCGCTGATACATCTTCGAATTTGGGAATTTTGGTGATAATTTATTTCAGTCTTGAGGCTTGCAAACAATCTTGAACTGATTACATACATCTTCGAATTTTTTTTTTGTTTGTGAAATCAGTGGCATACACCTTCTCTCTCTCTATGCTGGACAAGACCCAGGTACCAACTTCTTTGCATTCCATTTGAAGGCCACAGCTGCTGCTTCTGCAAATCAAGAAAACAAAGCCACGGCGAAACTTTTTTTTTTCTTTCTAAAATCAATGCACCAGATCTCGGTTTTTGCCTCTGTAACCACTGAAGAACACTATTGAAGAACACTGCTGTAACTTCATCTTCCTCTCCTCACTATTGAAGAACACTGATGTTTGACGTCGTCCATTGCTGCAGCTCTAGACACTGTCGTTGTCGATGTTTCATCTTGGCCCAATGACGCAGTCTCTGTGCTCTGGATACACCAGACCCGGTCTTGCTCCGCCGGCGACCACTTGTTGCAAATGTCATGACCCAAGCTGCTGTCCACCTTTCTCTGCTATAACTTTGTCTTCATCTTTGGTTGTCCAGTGCTTTGCCTTTATCTTCGGCTGTTCAACGCGAACCACACGTCGCCCATTCAACGCGATGTGTGGTTTTGCCTAACACCATCCAGCTCGTTATTCTCACAGCCCGGCGCTATTTTTTCTGTTCAACGCGAACCACACGTCGCCCATTCAACGCGATGTGTGGTTTTGCCTAACATCATCCAGCTCGTTATTCTCACAGCCCGACGCTATTTTTTCGGAGTTTGAATCTCAGTTTTTGCATACTCACTGGATTCGGCAGCCTCATACACAGGAGTAAAAGCATATGATCTGCAGACAGAATCCCCCCCAAAAAAAAAATTATTGTAGTTTCAGAAGTTCTGGCAATACTAATCAAAAGTTCTGTTCCAGCTCCGATCACTGTTGACTTCGACGGTTCCAACGCACACCACACACGTTCGCCCTCTCAACGCAACGTGTGTGGTTGCTGACTCTTCTGTGGTACCAGCGTTGCTTCCGGCTTCAACTTGTCCGACGCTGACCACGCACGTTCGCCCACTCAACGCAACGTGTGTGGTCCTGCCAAGCCTAGCCCAGTCTTGTTGATTACAGTCTGTAAAGCCTCTCTGATTTCAGCTTATATTTCCAACATCGGCCTCGGATATCACCCCCCTTAACTGTGGCTTTCTCTTCCTCTTGAATATACATATATTTTGTGGTAGTTTTTTTTTTTTGGTAGTTTTGTATATACATATATCAGAATTTATGATTCCAATGACACACATTCTTCTTTTAACAGGTTAGAGACTGAAGCCGTGTGTACGTTGATTACCATTGCAGGGCCAAATTCAATATGCTATTGAAGCCGTGTGTACATTGTTGGTTTCAATCTGCTGCTACTCCATCGCCAATCACTGTTGGCTTCTCTCTGCTGGTACTCCGCCATTGGCTTCAACTACTCCAATGCAGAACACGCACGTTGCCCATTCAACGTGACGTGTGTGGTTGCCGACTTCCTCTGCGACATCCCCGTTGTCCAGACCACGCACGTTGCCCACTCAACGTGACGTGTGTGGTTGCCGACTTCCTCTGCGACATCCCCGTTGTCTCAACTGCAACCTCGTTACTGCTTCCAGTCGCGCCTGGCCAGCGCCGACCACGCCGCCCACTCAACGCGGCGCCAGTCTGCCCAACTGCTCTCCTTCCATACTAAAATGGCGAATCAACAACAATTAACGACTCGGCCACGGATCCTCGAAGCTGTGTCTTTAACGGTAGTCATTCTAATAGCCGCTCGCGTCTTGGCTCTGGGTTATTGGATTTACAGCTTGGCTACTGAGAAGCAGCCTCAGAGAAGAAAGGAGCACTAGATCCAGTTCAATTTATAGTAACAGAGAAGGGAATCTTCAATTCAACAGTAGTTTTGATGGTATAAATATATACTTGGAATCTATATTCTTGGCTTTTGGCATGACTAGTGCTCTGATTATATACATCTTCATTATTACAGTGAGCCTTGCTATATGAGATATGTGTTATGTCACGCATGAATAACACCACCAAATTCTTATATTATATCCAATGTCCCTTTACTAAAAAGTATTTAGTATCGATGTTCTTAACCATATTTTTTGCTGCATAAATACTAGGAAATCAATTTAAGACATATATCATTTCCATGATGCCTTGCCCTGTTTTTTTTTTTTTTTTTTTTTAATTT